TGTAACGCTTGTATTCCGTTTGCCTCGAGAAAATGCATCAAGATTCAGATTGTTTTTGTTATTATGATTATTGTTATTGTTATTCATGCCAATCTTGTGATTAAGCGACGCTGCGTCTTGCAGAATGCGGATATGTACTCGTGCGACGAGCGATTTGTCTTCTTGTAGTATGAGTGTTGCGAGTTACAATTTTTATTACTATACATACGCATAGACCGATGTACGTATGTACGCGCGTTTCTACAAATTGATGCGACGAAAGTCGATTTGTATATCTCATCGCTTGGCAATGCGGCGCCTCTCTGTAAATTGAAAGAGTCTCTCTCTACATCTCTCTCTCTCACTACTACATGTATCTGTATATACGTGCGAGCTTTTTTCATTCAATTTTTCATTCCGTTCCCTCTGGAACGAATGCAAAAAATTAAGAAAGCGATATATAAGTCAAAGTTAAATAAAATTATTTTCTACCTTATCACGATTATTTACTATCTCTCTGCATTTGTCATTTGCGTGTGCATCGATGTAATATATCCGTCACTATTTTGTATTTTTTTACTCCCTGACTATTATAATTTTTTTCCTTTGCTATATATTGGTGTACGCAAGTACTATAAGAAAAAAAAAACTAAAAACAAACAAAATTTTAACGAAGACGACGATAAAAAAAGGAAGCCTATGTTTTTCAACGTTATATATTATGAATAGATTAATGTATTTTATATAATTCATTCTATTATTGAAACTAGTGCATATGCGTATATAAATGCAGGTAACACAGATATTTCAGAATCTTAATATAGAACTGCGGCTTCATTATATGTGCAGTGTGCGCACATAACGCCGAGTCTTCTCTCTCTTTCTGTCTCTCTATCTCTGATTCTGTGCGGCTCGAGAAACTAATATTTTAAAATTTCCTGTTAAATGAGACAATTAATTACGACCGAAAAAAGCAATGTACAAAACAACTCACTGCAACTAATCAGTCATTTATAAAAAAAATAATAATAAAAAATTGATACATACAATTTTAACTAACACAGAAAGTCTGTCATTTCACCAGGGCATGTCACATATCACGAATAAGGTATAATCAAGCAGAGCTAAAGTATCATCCTTGAATCAATAATTTACCGAAAATGGGCGGCGTGCATATAAGCCGCAATATCAATTAGTCGGAAATGTCTTATCTATAATAATACGCAGTCGCGTCATTAACGATCGAGCTTGTAATAAATGTGCACATCACTGGTAGCCAAGGTCCCTTTTATTCTTTTTCTGTCTTCGTTTCTCTCTCTCTCTCTCTCTTTCTCTCTCATCGTGAAAAGTAAAGCCGTGTATGTGTGTGCCAGCCGTTAGAGGAATATCATATATAATATGTATTAAGTGCAGTCGAAGGTTTTAGCAGCCAACACGCAGACTCGTGGTTTCCGATACGTTACTCGATCTCCGCGGATCGCCGTGCACACGCGTTGATACAAATATATCGCTCGTTTTTCAAGTCACAGCCAGCAAATCCAAAATTATACTTTATCACTGCATATATGCGCGGGCAAAATCGATTTTAAGTCACTTTTCCCTTGGAGAGCTGCAAACGAGCTGACAATGAATCGTGTCTACGTACATCATTACTGTACCCGTTGCACATAATGGTGCAGGTACATTATGCAGCTCTCGTCTATATGTACAAATTGGTACCCCCCTCGTCAAGTTCAAAGTCGCGAGATTGTGTACCCGGTATAACGTACAGCTCGCCTATATGCCTGCGCTGTGTACACACGACCATTTTGTCCTTGATCCATTTTATTACAATTTATTCGACTTCTAGACCTACAATGCTAATGCGTGTGTACGCGATATTAGCTCGACTCGTGTGTGACTCGACGATCGAACGGAAAAGAAGGAAAAAAAATATAAGCTTTCGTGCGCGCGCGCGATCGATTCAACAAAATTCGCATCGATTTCGGTGAGATTTTCGTATAGAAGCGAGAGCTTGCGGAGAAAGAGCTTCAGTGTGCGCAACTCGATCAACGAAGGCAGATATATTTGTAAAAGTCCATAACGAACTGGTGCATACATCGCCTATACAGCGTGCATATGTATATGCGGCGATCGCTGTTACGCTGCGCTGAACACGCTCGCGCGTCGAAATTGCGCAATAGCCAATAAACGGCCGCAAGGTCGGATCCTCGCTAAACTAGCTATAGATATATATTATGCACACACGCTGCGTTTTGTATATATGCAGTGAGTTACTTATGCTAGTTACGCCAGTAGCGGTTCTCGACGACAGGCCGGAAATTCGTCGCCAACTCGTCGTAGTCGTCGTCGTTGTCGTCGTTGCTGCAGCGCTGAAGTATACGACAGCTGGACACGTGCTGCCAGTTGCACACTAGGGCTTCGCCGCTCTTCTCGCGTAACGATTCTATACATTTCGAAGAATCTCAGCGCGACGATTGTACATTTCGGACAAAACAAGTGGATCGCATTATCGTGTGCGAGTACATAGCGAAAAAGCAAACGATCCGTGCACCAATTATATGTCGTCCTCGTCGTCATCGCGCATTGACATATGCGCTCTCTTTCTCGTGCATCGATGCGCATCGTAAATCAAGCAAATCGATCCAGCCTCGATCGTCGTTGGTAGCTATTATCCTCGCGCTCGGCTCTCGTATATATACGTGCAGCGCTTATATATATGCACGCGCTGCTAATGTGTGCGCCATACTAGCTAGCATCCGTGTGTGTCAAAGAGCTGCACACAAAGTCGACGCTACAAATTGCTCTACGCGCGCCGAGACCGCACCCATCTCATTTAATAGGATAATCGCTATAGTAGGTCGAAATAGGCGTCAGCTCCAAACGCGGAAAAACGGGCAAAGTTTTGCCAGGAAAAAAAATAAATCAAACAATTTGTTACGAACTCGAGAGAGAGAGAGAACGAGCCATGCAGTAACACAACTGGCCATATAGTTGAATTATAAGAGAAACTCGGAGCGCAACTATATATGCGGGAGCTAATTGTTTCGCTGAAAGCTCCATCCAGTCTCCCGATCGGGCCACGCGTAGGCGAAAAGCTGCTGCTGCTGCTGACGCGGATTCACGTGCGACACACGCGCTGTAGCACACACACGCTTTTAATGCTTTGGCGCGCGATAATCCGCGAGTATGCGCGTGGCCACACCACCGATATTCCAATGTACAATACGTATCCGTGTGTGTGTGTGTGTGTGTGTGTGTGTGTGTGTGTGTGTGAGTGTGCCGCGCTTATATTCGTGTGCATCCACACGATCGCGTCATTGCCGTGAACTTCGGGGAAAACGACGATTCACTCGTGTGTATGTGTGTGCTCGTGTGTATAATGTACGTACGTGTGTGTGCGTGTGTATGCGCGCGGCGGGTGCCGAGACTGCAGCTTAAACCTGCAGTCGGCCTTCCGCGCGTTATTTGAGCGTACGTAGAGACGCGCTCCGTGCTCGTCGTCCGCGTTGCTCGACTTTTCTGCACAGCTGCGCTCCGAGAGAGACGCGCTCGGTCCGCGCGTCCTATCCGCGAGTCGTCCACTTGATTTTTCGTCAAGGATAATTCGATCGTTTCTTCTCTTTTTTTTTCTTCTACTTTTTTTTATATGTGTGTCGGCCCGTTGAAGTGAAGAGCACATTGTTTGGTCGACGCAAGTAGAACCACTATTAATTATAATCGATCGATTAGTAAACAATTATACATCCATACCCATATGCATCGATCAGCGATCGCTTTCTTCCATATATACATCCACACGTCATATCACGCGAAGCTTTTGTCATTTGTCGTGTAATGTATATGCGCAATCATCAACGTCGAGTCTCACTTTATAACACAGCATCATCAGCAGTATATGTGTCACATATGTCTCAGTAGTAGTAACACAATCAGCGAGTTATCATGAAAATCCATTGAAGCGAACGAAAATCATCATCATCGTCATCATCGTCATCATCATCTTCATTAAAGCTCGAAGCGATTGGCCCAGGCAAAAATTGCGCTTATTTCACATGCGCCAAAAAGCAAGTGCAGCACCGCTAATAATAACCATCATCGCCGTCATCGTGTCGAAAGCTTACTGTACTCACTGGCACGCATGCATACACAGCTAAACGTACGAGAAGCTCTCGCTCGCACGAGGCTGTCACGAGATCGAGCAGAGCTTTTTCTCAATGTCATCGGGATCCTCTCGAGTAGCCCAACTCGTGCCATATCTGCGTACCAAGTTGTAATAAATTGTATACCGAACCAAAATGATTGTGAACTACAACTGCAAAGATTCATCTTTGGAGCTTTCCCACTATTACTAGTGCTACTGCTGCCGATGATGATGATGATGATAATGATGATACCAATACTACTACTACGACTACTGCTACTAATACTACTACTGCTGATGCTGATGAATCGGACGAGACGTTGATGGTTGCTTAAAATAAGCGAAGAAAGCGATCGGCGTGTTGGCAGTGTGGTTAGCTGGTTGTGTAGATTATCAAAAAAGCACGACCGCTATCGGCACTGCGATTATGACGCTCGCTGTTCAACCTTTTTTATGGTGTAAGACGCTTGGCACGGCGCTTATCGCCGAGTCCAAGTACTCGTGCAAACAAAGCACTCCTAACTGTATTTTCTGTACGATATATGTGCATCGAAACTCGCGTAATAGTTCTTTTTTTCCATCTCAAGGTTGAATTGCCTTCTTTGTTTTGTACTTTTATAATTTTTTTTTTTCAAATCCTTTGACTCAATTCACGGTTTGAGATAATTTCTCTAAAGTGACATTAGAGCTCTTTATTATTGGTTTTTATCAAGGTTTTTGTTGTACGAAATAATTTAACTATATATCCGCGAGTATATGACTTTTCAAACACTTTTTTAAAGCATGCAATTAAAACTTTACTATGTATAATGAGATGTAATTTCATACACGAACTCGACTAACAACTTGTTTTGTTTTGTTTTTTTCATCATTGCAGATCAGCCTACGTGTCGTTCGGAGGTCTACTGATGCGGCTGCAGGGCGACGCCAACAATCTGCATGGCTTCGAGAACGATTTACGCATGTACCTTCTCATGAAGAAGCTCGCCTTTTAAATAATGCAAGAAGCCTCGGAGTTTGCGGCTTCGCGAGCGAGACAAATTGCGAAGCGAGCGATGGTCGCCTAGTTTAATATCTTTAATATTTATCGAGGAAGACGTACGAATGTTTAATGTATACCACGCGCCGCCCGCGCCTCAACTCGAAGGAGTCTCTATTTTCTCTTTCCTATATTGAATATGAGAGAGCTCGAAGAAAATTATCTTGATTGCATTCCGACATTTTTCGAGCGTGTCACGTGCGTACAAATGCGGCAGTTGCAGCGGATTTTTTTTTTCACCGACGAGCATTTCCAACTTTATGTAACATTTTGTAATTCCGATAGACATTCGTACGACGTTAGGTAATTTTTTCTATGAATATTTGTACCATGTATACTAAGAAAATAATAAATTTCATATACGTATAAATCAAAAAAAAAAAAAAAAAAGGATCTTTGATACTATTTCGAATACTTGAATCTTTGAATCCTCAAAAAATCCCTCTCAATTCCTAAAATAAAGTATTGTCCTATTAATGCAAGCAAACGTTGTTTATATAAATACATATCCGTTCTGGTCAAGAGTAATCACGCTCGTTACAGAGCACACAAACGCAGATGGAGACGCGCAATGAAGAAGAAAAAGAAGAAGTAAAAAAATTCAAGACTGCTGAGATTTACATAATACAACATGGATAATGACAGACTGTCAGTAAGTTCGCGTGTGCTCGTGGCAGAACAATAACGCAAAGTTAATAATGAAAATATCCACGCGCACCGAGAAGACGGAGAGAGAGAGAGAAAAAAATAAGTACAAAAGTAACGTCTCCGCGAAGGCACAAACAGAGGAGAGTCGAAGTCCGATGCAGTGCGCACGGCTCCAAAGCGGCGATACGTGAGAAAAATGTATCCAACGTAGGCGTGTATAGCAGCACACACGTGTAGTACGCGCGAGATCGATTAGCACCTCATACGAACGCGCGCGCGTTAAATAATGTTTCGCGCTTGTTATTATAATGACTACTATCCAGCATAGACCCGAGAGTCGTCGACGGATCTCGAAGGCGCGCGTTGTTATTTCTATGAGTGCATTTTATTTGTCCGTGCGACCGATGTATCGTTGCAGTGCGTGCAGCGCAGCAGTTGTTATTTAGCGAAAAATCGATTAAGCCGAGTTATTATTTTGCGATGCCCACGTGCCGTTTAAGAAATGGAAAAAGTCTCGTCGTATATTTTCTCTCTCTCTCTCTCTCTCTCTCCTATTCTTTATACATATATAGGTAATGACCAAGCGTCGTGCCTATGGGTACATGGGCTCGCTATATACGCTCGATGGCCGCGTTCGTTTTGCAATTACATAAAAGACCGCGCCATAAGTCTATGCAGATGCAGCCCGCGCTTCTGCCGCGCGTACGACTTGAATTTATTATTAAAACTCATAATCGCTCGAGTGAAATTCAGCGATAGAGAAAGAGAGATAGGTATATATATTATGCTTATAGTGAACAAAGAGTCGCTCGCGGTACTGTCTCTGTTTTTCTGCTTGCAGCGCGCGTACACAGGCCAGGCGCGTTTTTAATTTGATGAAACTGCAGCTGTGCTATATACGACGAATAATGCGCGCCCGCCCGATAATACGCTTTTTAACGAGAGACAGTGCTGCACAGGTCTCGACGAGTTCGTTTTACGCGCGGATCCGAAAAGAATTATAAGAAACGTGTCCCACGGCTATGATTCATCGCGGCCTCAGCGATATAATTCATTAAAAGATTAATTACCGAGAAACGTCGCGCTCGCAAAAGTTTTCTGCTCCCGAGAGCCAAGAAATGTCATTCGTGCTGCTTTGTTTTAAAGGCGTCTTTTATAATGATGAGCATCGTCCATTTGTTTCCGCGGCGTAGTATACAGGCGGAGTACACCGGAATTCGTATATAATCATTGCGTATAGCTACGATGTATTTCTGGTAATAGCACGCGGTAAGAAGCGTGTCCGAGCTGCTTTATATTTAATTAAAACGCGTCGCTCGAGAGAAGAGCATCTTGGGGCGCGACTCAATTTTCGCAACTTGGGCTTGCAGCGACGTCGTGCGAGGGTCAAGGGGTTGACTAGGAATTCGCTTATAAATATTCAATCGCGTCGTGCATAATCCTCGTGCAGATATACATATGCATCCTGTGTCGGTAGTTTTGCAGTCGAAGCTCGACTGGCTTCCTTCATCTCTTTTCCGCGGCATTGGATGAAAATTGATAAGTTTCATTGGAAAAGGTATTTTTATCGCGAGAGAAGAAATGATTGCCGGAAAAGAAAGATGCGGATTCCTACACGCGTGCGTCACTTTTCAGCGCATTCTACGTAGTCGAAAAGCTCCTTCTGCAGCTTTCGCGAGTGCATCGTGCGAAGCACTGTCACGATTCAAAAGATCGAATAGGCATACGATTAGACGTACGATCGCGAACGAAACTACGAAATACATAATGGATGAAGGGATCGGTGGCGCGAGTATATATGGCCGATTCTCTGTGAAATCGAATGGCCAAAAGATTTTTTTTTCTGCAAATATGAAAAACTTGCTGCTTCCGATGTCAGAAATGTTCCCAAATTTTATTAGAATTTTTGGGGCCTTCTATGACACTTTTTCAGAGGCCCAAAGTTGGCCATTTTAGGGTTTTTTTGAAATTCATGAAAAATCACAAATATTCAAATAATTCCTGGATTAAATTAGAATGATTCAAAAGTAAAAGTGCCCAGCAACTTTTTTGTTGGAAATTGTCCAAATTTTCAGAAAAAAAATATGCCAAAGTGATTGGAGCCACCCAAAGAGAGCATAGTGGGAAAACATAAAAAAAAAACACAAAACAAGAAATCTACTCGAGTTCGAACCGGACTTTCATTTCCTAAACTATGTAAAAAGCTTCCCAAAGATGTCAACTACTGCCTGATAAAGTTTTGTAATGGGTCTTAAAGTTTAACTCAATGTAGACAATAATGTATGGCGAAAAACGTGCAAAAAAGGTCAAAAATAGGCCCAAAATGCTTAAAATCTCCAAAAACAGCCATTTTCAGGCCTTTTTTGCACGTTTTTCGCCATACATTATTGTCTACATTGAGTTAAACTTTAAGACCCATTACAAAACTTTATCAGGCAGTAGTTGACATCTTTGGGAAGCTTTTTACATAGTTTAGGAAATGAAAGTCCGGTTCGAACTCGATTAGATTTCATCATTTATGTCCACTTGGCAGATTTTTTGCTTTACACTTACTTAGATTGTTCCAATCACTTTGGCATATTTTTTTTCTGAAAATTTGGACAATTTCCAACAAAAAAGTTGCTGGGCACTTTTACTTTTGAATCATTCTACTTTATTCCAGGAATTATTTTAATATTTGTGATTTTTCATGAATTTCAAAAAAACCCTAAAATGGCCAACTTCGGGCCCCTGAAAAAGAGTGATAGATGGTCCCAAAAATTCTAATAAAATTTGGGGACATTTCTGACATCGGGAACAGCAAGTTTTTCATATTTGCAGAAAAAAAAAATTTTTGGCCATTCGATTTCACAGAGAATCGGCCATATACATGAGCGCGCGCAGCGACGTTTGCTCCGATTATTTTTGATGGAGCGAAGGCTTCGATCATCCGAGGCCCGAAAGCAACTGGACGGCAACTGGAAAGGCTGCGGAAAAAAGTAGCGATCGATCAAAAGAGAAAACAACGCAACGAGGTTGTGCGAGCTGCATATGATATAACGCAAGCGAGACAAAGATCGCGCACACTCGGACGGACGGACGGACGGACGAGCGCGAAAACCTGAGATACGTATAACGCGCGTGTGTGGTTTACGCCGTACGTGCATAGAATCTCGAGCTGCACATGCACGCGGGGCTCCCGACGCTATACACGGAGAGTTAGCTAAACGAGCTAATTTATGTAATTAAACTCGCGCGACATCGCTGACCTTCGGTGCGTATAGCGGCGCGCGTTCCTACATACATATATAACTCTATGCGATACGTGCGCGACAAGCTGCTGCACTCGCTGTCTGTGTGTACTCGACTATGTGTGCATATACGCGAATGTGTGTTGTTTGTGCGTGTGGAGCACAGGCGACGAGAGAGCTGCAAGATCGCGAGCTGCACTGCACTGGCAGTTACTACTACCATATTATGCACACGAAAAGCTTTGAAGTACGGTCGCGTGGGCGCTCGCGCCTCGCAATAATAATGCATATACGACGACATAAATTACAAATTACGTAAGCGCGCAAAGAGTTGCAGGCTCGATCGCGCTCGTCGTCGTGTGTACGCGCGCGAGATTACTGCATTCCGATTTTTCCGATTCGTGTACACAATTACGGGCTATAAAAGCGCTACGACTATATCTGCTGAGCTTGACTCGAGTTGCCGTATTTTTAAGCCCGCGCGCAAACAACGCACTCGCTCGCGCACCCAAGACAAACGAACGAACGAACGATATCGTGTACTCGTACGCGCGAGTAGCGAATTCGAGCGAATAGATCGGAAGCGATCGCGCATTACATTTGTAATGCGTATGCGTGCACACGTTCAAAGCCGAGAATTGCGTAACCCAAGCAACGCTGCTTACGCGCACGTATCCCTATGCTTGTTTCATCGACTCTGTATGGACTGCGTGTGCGTATGTGCACCGATATACGTGTAATATATCCGAGGCATTATCGCGCCCCCGCTCGTTTGACTGAAAATACCTTGATATTGATTTCGAATGATGAGCTTTCAATCTCTCTCCCTCTCTCTCCTCGCGTAAACTCCGCTCGTCGCTCGATCGTCAAATATGGGATGCATATGCCTGCGTGACACTCGTCAAACGCAATACGACGAGTCGACCGAGTGCGTTGCTGCTTCGACTGACCAAGTACCGATGCCTAGCTATATGTTCGTGCTACTTCCAACGATCCCGGAAAATTTTTACCTCTTGATATATTTTTTGCGGAGAGAGAATAGAAATTGGTATTCTTGTAGTTGATAAGAGTAGTTTAAATTAGCCGATAAAACTGATGTGTCTTTAGTGTGAATTAGATTTATTTTCTACAAAAATACATCTTAGTAACTCAGAAAAATTTACTGACATTGCTTTTAAAATACTAAAATTGTAAAATTAGTAAACAAAAACTAATATTACTGACTCATGCCATATATCAAAAGTCTTAAAAACAAATCTCTGTGACTTAGGTAATTACTTAAAACTACTAATGACTAAAAGTTATTTTATCAACAGGTCTCAATATTCTTTTCTTAAAGCACTTGCGTTGAGTCATAAAAATACTTAATATAAATTGAGTTTTGTGGTCAATATTACACGTATTGTCTGATCAAATGATGTGATGAGACCTAAGCCAGTTTTATCTGTAGACCAATCCAGTGAACTTATTGGTTGAGAAGATAAAATATTATTTTGCAGTAAATTTAAACTGCCAATTACTCCTTCTTCGATACCATCTGCTCCTTGAACCTTACGTTTGGGAGGATACTCGCTAAACAAAAAATTCATCATTACTACTTCTCTTTCTAGTTTTAATAAAATATATCAGTAACAAATAATGACTTACTATTTCCATAAACATAGAGACCCATTACCACCCGCAGTCATGAAAAGTTCTCTATTTTGAGGAAGATGTCTTACTAACCATACGGTAGAAGAATGAGCCTGTAATGTAAAACAAAAATTAATAAGAAACTCAATTTGACAAAAGACTTTGTTATTGTATCATACTTTTTCAACTAAATATGAAAAGCCTTTCTTGGGATGTTGAGTTCTCAGATCAAACACGTATACCCTTGATTTAAGGGTTGTAGCGACGAGCTTATTCATTGGAATGTCCCGTCGATCAAACTCGAGTCCACACACTCCAAACTTGAGAGTGCTCTCCCATCTGAGGGCCATTGCGCGCAAGTCAAACATTTTGACGTCACCGTTGTCATAGCCAGCTACGACAACTCTATCCTCGTTGTTATGAGAGTTTCCGAATGCCACGGACCAGCAGTCCCGACGTTGGTCGCCCTCGAACGGCTCCATGATCGCTACCGGTCGATCCTTCTGACGAGGATCCCACACCTTCACGCTTCCGTCTCTGGAACCCGTTAAGATTTCGGGTGCGCCGCAACCAATGGTGTCGCCGCCTACCCCATCGATGGCATTGATAATTTGTTTGTGTCCTTCGACTTTGTATACCGGCGTTGAAGCGTCTTCAAGGTCATAAATGCACATACGACCCTATGAAAAACGAATTATTGTAAAAAAATACTGTTCATAGTCTGTATTTACTACTATTTACTAAAAATGTATGAAACAATGCATGCGTGTATTCGGTATTGGCGCGAAGTTCGGGCAACTGTCAAATAGTGCCCTGGACTGGCCCAAGCACAAAACTGAACCTCAAAACCCATGCTTACCTTGAAATCACCCGTAGCCAAATAACGCTCTCTGAGACTCGATGCTTTGAACGTCGAGCATTTTATAGGATTTGGCTGCTCGTGCTGTTTGACCAAATTCAATTTGCCAGCCGATAGCTCATAGATTTGTAAGGCACCGGTGTTTCGTGGTTTCGAACCTAACGCGACGAATTTCGCACTGCATGGTATCCATTTGGCGTCGAACACCGTATAATCCACCGACTGTTCGGCATGACAAACTATGATTGGTTTTGCTAATTTTTCCATTTGAACAACTATTTGTCGGGAAACTTTTGAGAAAGAAATATCGCGTGCCGACTTGCCCGCTCCAAGCGTGTACTTCGTCTCCCTCGTGTTAACGAGATAAACAAACGCTAGCGCCGGTGTTGCTTAGGTGTCTAGTTATGTGACTTTACGTCGTCTGCTATATATTTGAAGGCTTTCAAAGATAAATTCTGATTGAAAATTTCGCATTGGGCTTAAAAAAATCTTTAATGATATAAAAATAATCTCTACACATTATATACATCACAATTATTTTTAATGGTGTATAAAAATTGATGAGTTCTACAAAAACAGAACAAATTTGAGTTATAATAATTTATAATTATTTTGTACACTAAGTCATGCTACAATTAAATACACTTTGCATTAAGTCTTTGCTAAATATACATTTAATCATTTGTATCTATGCTTCTTTCATACTTTCATCACTTTTTTCTTCTTGCTGATCCATGTTCTCATCAGCCATTTCAACACCTTCTGCATTTTCAGGATTGCTCAAATTGCCTGAATTGTCTGATGTTTCATGTACATTAACTCCAGGGGTGTTAACTTTATTTCTAAACTCATAGATGTATTTCAACAGACGTTTTTCTCCGCTATTGTCAAGCTAAAATTAATAATCATAATTAACATTTATATAGTTATGAATTAAACATGCAACAAATTAAAACAAACAAGCTTACTTTTTCTTCAACATCATCCAAAGCTTTCAGTACATCATTTTTCAAGTTTTCTCCATCTAAATGCACATCCAACATTTTCAGTGATTTTACTAATATATCTATTGGTACTTCAGAATCAATTTTTAATATTTCACATAATATTGTATATGTCAATTGATTATGAATGCTGTAAGTGTTACTGATTCCATAGCAGGTCAAATTTATGATAACTTCACTAACTCTCAGTGGATCAATTTCCTGTAATATACTTAAATCTGGAGCATTGACTAATGACTTCAATGTCGGTAGATATGCTTCTTCCAAAATAGATTGACTTTCTGGAACTTTTTCAATGTAAAGTTTGAAGAAAGTACACAAGCATTGACTTAAAAATGTATTTTCTTTTGCAATAGGATTATGCCATAAAATAAGTAGTTGTGTTATCAGTGAATGACTGCTAATTCTTTTATGCAAAATAAGTTTGCAAAGACCCTCTGTGGCAACTGATTGTAGTTTTTTGAGCTGTTAAAGTAACAACAATTTATAAATTTTATGAATATGAGTTCCAAAAATGTGTTTTAGATTTTTTATTTTTATAATAAAATACCTGGCTATCCAATAATGCCATTAAAGCTTTTAAAACATTGTTAACATTGCCATTATCGCAGCTTATTTCTTTATCATTAACATTAATATCTTCCTCTTGTTCAGAGAATAACCTTACTGCTTTTCCTTTTTTACTTGTAGTTGAATCTTCTTCTTCTTGGGCTGCAATGTTAAAGTGTTCAAACCCATATTTCAACAACAAATCAAAAATAACTTCTGCTGCTGCAACCCAAACTTCCTCACTGTTAGACTCTGATATGTACACAAAATATAACATGAAATATTTTTTAGCCAATTCTTTATCTATAAGACTGCATAGTCCGACGCATTTCAAAGCCAGTCGAATAACATATTCATTGTTGTTTTGAATCTGAAAAAAGTAATAAAAGTATTTTTCAATTGTAGAAAATATTTACTAAAACTAAGTTAGATGGTACTTACTGCCATGAATGGCAAAGCTATGCTATCCATTAAGGTTCTCAATGTTGGTGATAAAGACGTAATTGTTTTTGATTGCATCATGGAATACATGATAGTTAAACAGTGTACCATTGTTTCTGGGTCACTTTTTTCTTCACAGACATTTTGAGATGGTTGTAGATCTACAACTTCAGCCTCTTTAGACAAGTTTTCTATTTCTTCTCTTAAAACTTTTATGTTTTGACAAATTTCTTGGGCCAAAGGGTAGTTTTTTTCTTGTATAGCAGAATATTCTTTATCTTCCATTTCTAATAATTGCATTCCAAGTTTTGCTCTCTAAAAAAATTTTAAATTACACATAACAGTTTTGAAAAAGATTGTCAATTCAATTAAAAAAAAAAATAATACCTTCATTTTTCTTTCGTGTCTTTCATCTTCAGACATAGGGACCATCACATTAATTTTTGTTGGCATTCTAATTTCACTTATAACTTCTACTAATGAAGATACTCTGCTGTTAACATCTGGAACAACAGTCTCAAAATATTGTACAATACATTCTGTAATTTTTTCAGTGCAATAATTAGTTTGCAAAGTTTCTAAAATTAATTCCTTTAGAGTTCTTCTACCCATTTCATCTGCTAAATCATGTATTTTAACCATTTCAAATAACTGAAGAAGAATGAATTGTTGCGTTATAACTTCATATGTATTATTTTGTTTATCATCAATTGATTTCATGTATGTTTTGATGTAGGCACAGAATGGAGATAGCTCAGGCATTATTCGCTCAAATTCATCAGTTAAGTTTTCTTTTTTTAGAAACTCAGCAAGACAACGCCAATACAAAACCACTTCACTACTTATTTTGTCAATAGGTACAAACTTAGTATCATCAATAGGTAATTGTTCAATCAATGTACCTATTTCAGCATTTCTGAAAAAAATTATTTTTATATTACCATTAATAAATTTGTAACTATTTATAAAAAAATTAATCACATACTTGAATAAACAATCTAAAGCTAAAATTGCAGTATCTGCAGCATGTTCAGCATCAATGGCTTTTAATAAATTCAGATAATTTTTATCATAATAACGAAGCCATGATGGGATTAAAATTTCTCTAACACACTTTCTAATGATCTCTGATGTATCTTGCAAACCATTGTTAAGCAATTTTTCTCTTTGAGATATAGTCAATGATTTCACAGTTATTCTGCTAATAAATAAATAAGCCATCTTGCGAACAGAATCATTAACATCCATGGTACGTTTAATGGCTGCATACAGGGTAGTTTTATTTTTTGCCATTTTTGCCAAAATAACTCTCCGTACTTCAGCACTGGGATCTTTGGCTAGGTGAAATAAATAAACATTAATAACAGGGCAGTTCTTATTAGTTGGTTCTTGCAATCTGTAAAGAGCAATGGCAGCCTGTGCTCTGACTTTAGGAGATTTGTCCAAAATCCTTTCCATCATGTTTTGCAAAATTCTATTACACAAATCATCGTCAATAGAAGCATTTTCACCCATTGTATCTAGAAGCATATTAAGAAAATAGCACACTCTGTAACGTATCTGTAAAAAATGCAATTGATCAAATATCTGTTATTTATGAAATCAAAATTATATGCTCAAAATAGTATAATTACAGCAACTTCTTTAGATCCATGATGTGATAAAAGAAACTCAAATATGCTTTGAAGAAAAGGACACATTTCTTCGTACTCATCTTCATTTTCATCATTTGTTGGTGGCTGTAGACCGATAATAAACTTTGCAGCAAATTGAAGTGTATTTTCAACATGAGCATGCTTTTCTATGTAAGTCAAGGGAATTTGTAAATTGCTAACGAATTCACTCACAAAATCATCCAATTCCATCTAAACGAAATAGCCATTAGCATTATTGTTAAAAATTAACAAACCATACAAACTCATGAACAAATCACTCACTTTGTCATAATACTTTTTTAATTTTTTCATGAAATTGGGATGACCAGTGCGATTATACTGCACCGCTGCAAACACCTCACTTATCTTCTCAGCATCTCTTCCAACTGGCATCTTGAACAATTTTTGAGTCAAACTCACACGTTGTATATTAATTAAATCATAAAACAATTCAAACAATCATGAAATTAGTATTTTAACGCAGACTCCGGTCGGAGCAGCTTCAATATTACTGCAACTTAAACGGAGCAGCGTAGCTGCTGGTTTTCTGCCAGTTGTGCTCTGCGCGGTAAACAACGCAAAGTCCGTTGATACAAATATCAAACCGCCTGTGTTAGGGTGGGAGGGCGTATCGCGTTCTTCAGCTGAATGCAAAAGTACCCCCCCTTAGCTACAAGGACATTGTAGCCAACCGTTATCGATGTCAGAATATTACGGGAAACTTACTCCAATTTTTGAACATCTTTTATTCCAAACGAAAGTAAATTGATAATAAATTGTTCGACTTGAATCGATCTCATTGTTTACGTCTCTGTGCTTTATTGTGTGCAAATTCATAATCATTTCTGCAAATCCTATAGTCGGCAAGCCGACAACGGAATGAAATCAGTGACCGTAAAAACATTTCCGTCCCTCTAGTGGAAAAAACTTCAAACTTTGCATTTGAAACTTAAACGGCTGCCGGCCAACGGCTGTTGCTGCTTTGCTCTCTCGTCGGCGTGTGTACATTTTTCGCGGCTCGTCGTTGGCGAATAAAAAAGAAAGTGAAAATATTTAGACGTAGAAGTGCAATAGTTTCTGAAATACGTATCAACATCGAAGTGCTCGCGATAATACGATAACCCCTTGTGTGGCTGCGAAAAGCGGTCAGGACCTGATTTAATCAAGTGCCCACAATATACAAACTTCCAAACTTTACAAGATGAATGATACGCGCAATAAAAAAGAGAAAAATCAGCATATCCAAGTCTTCGCTCGAGTAAGGTACGTAGAAAATCGTGAAAGACGGTTAAAATATATTTCGTAATTGTCTTGTTCCATAGAACAAGTTGGTGTGTGTATGTGTTTGTATAGGATGGTATCTGGGAGCTCTGTATGCGTCATACTGCTCACGTTTTGAATGTAGGACTAAATTACTTTGATGAAACTTATTACATCACGAGAATATTTGTTTGTCACTTTTAAATTTGAATGGAATACCGTTGTTATCAAAAGAATTCGATGTTTAAACGATTTTACATGAATTTTTTAGCAGTGTCTGATGTCATTTACGATCAATATTTAATTAATGAAAATTGAATTCTTTAAGACCTCTGAACAATGCGGAAAAAACAAGCAAGTCTCCAGTGGTGGTTGATGTGCCATCTAACAAAGAAATCATTGTTAAAGAAAGGCCACAAGATAAGCTAACAAAAAAATTTACATTTGATAAAACATTTGGACCATTGTCTAAACAGGTGAAATTTAATTATAATAAATCATAAGCTCATGAAATATTTTAATTTCTAAACATTAATTTGATTATTTTAGATTGATGTTTACAATGCTGTTGTTAGTCCGCTTCTTGATGAAGTTTTGGCTGGTTACAATTGTACTGTTTTTGCATATGGACAAACGGGCACTGGAAAAACTTTTACAATGGAAGGAGCTTGTAATGACCCCTCATTACATTGGCAAACAGTGAGAATCATTATAAAATAAAAATATTCATAAATTATCAGTATTTTTAATTGAATTGCTATTTTAGGATTCTGCAGCTGGTATAATTCCAAGGGCATTGAGTCATTTGTTTGATGAATTGAGGATGTTAGAAGCCCAGGAATATTCTGTTAGAGTGAGTTTCTTAGAACTATACAATGAAGAGCTGTTTGATCTTTTATCCCCAAATGATGATGCTTCAAAAATCAGGTAAATTTAAAAAAAATACTTTTTTTTCTTATAGTTTCTTTCAATTCCTGTATTATTTATAAAAAGAATAATTTTACTTCTAGAATTTTTGAAGATGCATCAAGAAAAGGTGCAATAATTATTCATGGCTTAGAAGAAGTTACAGTACACAATAAATCTGAAGTGTACAAAATTTTGGAAAAAGGATCTGAGAAACGCCAAACTGCTGCCACTTTAATGAATGCTCACTCAAGGTAATTTTGACTTGAGAGTATTTTATTAAATTTATAAGAAATGATTATATTTGTCTCTACTTTTTCAGTCGTTCTCATACAGTATTTTCTATAACTGTTCACATTAAAGAAAATACAGTAGATGGAGAAGAATTACTCAAAACAGGAAAACTTAACTTAGTAGATTTAGCTGGCAGTGAAAATGTTGGAAGATCTGGCGCAGTTGATAGAAGAGCTAGAGAAGCTGGCAATATTAATCAGTCACTTTTAACTCTCGGAAGAGTTATCACTGCCTTGGTTGAGAGGGCCCCTCATGTACCATATAGAGAATCCAAATTGACAAGACTGCTTCAAGAGTCACTTGGTGGTAGAACAAAAACTTCTATCATAGCTACAATATCTCCTGCAAGTATCAATATAGAAGAAACCCTTTCTACTTTGGATTATGCCCATAGAGCCAAAAACATTACAAATCGACCTGAAATCAATCAAAAGCTTTCAAAGAAAGCTTTATTAAAAGAATATACTGAAGAAATTGAAAGATTACGACGCGATTTGCTAGCAACACGTGAACGTAATGGTGTATATTTAGCTCAAGAAAATTATAATGAAATGCAATCAACAATTGAAGCTCAGGGTAAAGAAATTGAAGAAAAGATCAATCATATAAAAGCTCTAGAAGAAACAATGCGAGATAAAGAGGTAATAATATATTTAAATTGAATTTATTGTTGTTTTGACTTTAAATTACATATATACATGATTTCTTAATATTTGTAGAAAATTTTTGAAGATATGAAAGTGGAATTTGAAACTACAACTCATACTTTGGTTAAAACAAAAGAAAAATTAATATCTACAAAAAATGATTTAATCACAACTAAAACGGAATTGCATGAAACTACTTATGACAGAGATTTGCATAAACATTTAGTAGAAAAACATGTTTCAACGGAACAGGAGCTTTTAAATCAAGCTAAAACATTATTAAATGTTGCTGAAACGGCGACTACTGACACAGTAAAACTACATGAGAAAATTGATCGGAAAAAGTATGTAATTAATTATTCGACAAATTGATATGTTGACTTGAATTTTATGTCATTTTCATTTATATTCCAGACGAGTAGAAGAAGAAAATGAAAATTTAGGTCAACAGTTTAAGCATAAAATGATGAACCGTTTTGAAAGCATGCAAAAAGATTTAAACAGTTATGGTGAAGAACTATCTAGTTTTTGTTCTTCTCTTAAAACCCAAATAGAATCTGTAGCCAATCATCAAAACAATGTAATTAATGTTACTCTTAATCACATTGGGAATGATCTTGTTCAACAAGAAAAAGTCATTTCTAATAACCTGGTTACGAGTACACATAGTTTAGTAAGTATTATTTTATATAAATTGATAAATTGAATGAATAATTATTTTTAAAACAATTTATTAAAAAACATTTTTTTTGCGTACAGCATGACGAATATCATTCTTGGATACTTACGCAAGTTGAAAAAACTACTGATGTGACACAACAGGAACGTTGGGCACTTCAAAATATCGTAAATAAAATATCACCGAAAATTCGAGAACTTGTCGAGAATAAAGTTACTGAAAATTTGAGGGCTTTGCATAATGAAACAGCACTAAAACTGATGAACCTTTCTAATACTGTTAAGAAATCAATGGATGACTATTGCAGGGATTTATTAGAAGATCGAGATAATTTGACCAAAGAGATTCAGGATTTAAAAAAAACCGTACAAGTTGCAGTTGAAAGTCAAAATCGAGTAGTTAATAATGAACAAGCTTTTGCAAAAGTAAGTGCTTATTTTTTGAATAATAACAACTTGCCTTTACAGATTTATCCATATCAAAATTAATAATTTTTAAACCTAGATGTTTACGGATTTAAAATTACAATTTGATAATACCTGGAAAAAGTATGAAACATTATCTGGAGACAATAAGTATAATCATTCCACTGTAATAAACAAATTTCAAGAAATTCAAGCTCAAAGTGATAAAATTATTGAAATCAATAATGAAAAATATTCTAACAACTTGAGCAAAGAGAAGGCAATTGAGAATCAAATTGAAAATCAGGCCAACCAAATCAGAAAAGAAGTTTCAACTGCTTTAGAATATGTACTTATCACTTTGATTATTTTTTTTTTTTTGTGATATTCTTTAAACGTTATTTAGATAACTAAACTTTTTTTTCAATAGAACTGGAATTTGGCTGAGAGTTCAATAGTTCAAAGTATTGGAGTAATAAATCAATTAGAAGGAGACATCAATGCATCTCGTCAAGCTTTGTCATCTTTCAAAGATACCACTGAGTCATGCGCTAAAGATTTGCAACTTAAATTTGATCAAGAAAAAGAAGCAATACTATCAACAGCGCAGGCAATTATTCAATTTTGCTTTTTTTTATTACTAAAATAATTGTTGATCTATTAATGTGTCCTTTTTAATTAGGATTATCATCAAATGATTTCAAATGCAAGTGAAAAACATACGCGATTCATGGAAGAACAGCGTACGGTGACACTCAATAATTTAGGTGCGATGAATTCTAAAGTTGATGACGAAGTTTCCACATCATCTGACTGGCAAAACAAATTATCTTCAGGGTTACATGAAACTTATGGAACCATTGACAAGTTTATTTCAGAAGACCTTCATCATGATGTCCCAACAGGTAAGAACTAAAGTTTATTATTATAAGAAATAAAGAATTTAATTGAATAATTTTTTTAATAGGTACGACTCCAGCTCGGCGAGACTTTCATTTCCCACGATCGTTGGTTGCGACTTCACCACATGATAGGATTATCAAGAGATTCCGCGAAATCACTAAACCCCACGAATATTCAGACACTGAAGTTAGTACACACCCTATGAATATCGATAATTTTTATTTAAAATTCTTATAAATTGACTTGGCGTTTTTGTAGGATGATAATACCATTATAGAAATGTCGTCTCCGGCTTTAAATGGCAGAAATAGTGTAATATCTACGACGTCTCCAATGCCAACCAAAATAAATCATGTAACAACATCTACACCTCGTAGTGCATCAAAATTAAGAATTCCCGTAATGTATAGTAGTAATAATTGTAGTCTTATAAAATCTGCTTCAACTTCAGATCTCTCTCTCGCCGCTAAAGCGCAACTTGATTCAACAACTATGTCTGAGTCCGGAGTAGGAAAAGTAAGTTAAAAACTTATATTTTACATTGAGAAAATTTATGCTTATTTTATATTGTTTTTTTTTTCAACAAGGTTCGAGACAATAAAGAGAACGGAGATGATGAATTTGTGAAACCTGATAAGAAGCCTAAGCGATTATCTAAGACTAGAAGCTTGAATAGAAGGGTTCTTGGATCTTATAATTAGAAATTTGTAAATCTTAATTACAGGTATGATGGCATCCGGCATACGATTGAAAATTGTAATATTTAAATTTAAATGATTTTGTTTGTCAAAGAATCTAATTAGTTAAGTAGATTGTAGATGTTTTTATCAGCACGCATGACATTGTTTCGAGGCAGATATGTTGCGAGTCAGTTTGTAGAACTTCTCGGCAATTGAAAAAACATACTTATTTTATACGTATGTACTCAATAAAATATATTTTGACGCATCGTTACCTTTTTTGTCAACGTTTTTTCACTTGAATAAGTTTTCAAAAATGTAAAAAGTGTTGTTGACATCAAACAATTTTGATTGAGCTCTTTTTCATTTCAACGGGCCAAAATGATGTATTTATCAAAAACAGCTGTATGTTATTAAATAGTCTAATTTTTTTCATTTTTATAAGTGTATATAATTATATACTAAGTCAACGGCTTGCTTGATTCAAATTGTCATTATGTCCTCTCAAACCATTTGTAGTGCGATTTTTCCGATTTTATATCTCTTATAAATTCTGCAATAGACCCGAGAAAGTTTTATGTTAAACTCGGGGTATGCAATAAACTTGTTTTTGTTTGGTATTGTAAAATTCTGATACCGGTTGGAATCTCATTATTTTATATCGTCACTGCTCAAAAAAATTTTCGATAAAGAAAAGACCAATTTTATATTAATTTTGTTTTTTTATTTTATTTCATACTTATAAATATCAATATAAAATACAAATAGTTGTAATATGAAATTAGTATTTTTGTACAAGTATGATCATTCGACAGACTTAGAAATAATACACTCTAAAAGTAAAATCTTACATAATTTTAAACTAATTGAAAGAGTGAATACCGATTATTATATATAATAATTAACTTTTTCTATAGATATAGAAAAGCATTTCAGTTGATTGTATTGTTATTATGAACATTTATTTATAAAATAAAAATAAGTTCTAATCTGAAGAAAAAAAAGTTATCATGCGTTAATTTACAAAGCACAAACTACAATCAATCGAAATCATGCATCTGCACAATTTACATAAATATAAGTATTATTACGTAGAATTTCTCTTTTTATATTAATCAGTGCTTATTTACGAAAGAACAACGCGGATTCGGCATTCTTCGGCATCATTTCATATTTACAAAAGCTATACGATCGCCTTTCATCTTGACTTTCGTTTTACTCTCAGAATGAGAGCATCTTGAAAAAATAAAATTTATAAGTATCATATGTCTAGTACACCCACTCATGATTAATTATATCATCCGATTTTTCAGTATGGATGCGCTCGCACTCTATGTTATAGCGAATTTTCTTATCGCAATAAAACATTTCACGATAAACTCCTATATCTTATAGTGTAACGATTTATACAATTTCTGATCAATTCGTCTGCTTCTATTTTGCAAGCACTCTCAGTGTACTTGCAAATTATATAATATTAATTTATTTTTATGAATACTTTTACATGCGACTTTACGTTTATTTTTACTTGACCAAAGTTTACCTTTTGACAATTTTGGGTAATTTTGAAAGAGAGTTATGCATCAGCTACCGAATAACGTTTCGAAATAATATCACAGCACGAAGCGATACGATTGATTACGTGGTATGATATTTCGTACTCATTCAAACATTGAGTCGCATTTTCAAATTATAATTTGTAAAATTCATTCAGGCTACAGATTGTTGACGCTGATGATTTGATTGATCCATCCTATGAAGGCCGACACTTTGACGTAAACTCCTGGCACATCGACGCGTCCGCAGCCGAAGCCCCAAGACACCAAACCGGCGAGTTCGTAGAAGCCATCGTCCTGGCATACCAGCGGTCCACCGCCGTCGCCCTGTGAAAAAAAATGCACCCGCGGTACGTTATTTTCCATTCGTTGAAAATCGAATTAGAATCGAAGTATAGCCAAGTGGAAAAGTAAAGTGGCATAATACCTGACAGGCGTCGTTGCCCCGCTCGCCACCGGCGCAAAAACTGCTGGCTGGCAGAATGAAGATCTTCTCTGTTACCGCGTTGACTTTTCTAATGCATTCCGCGTCGCTGACTATCGGAATCTCAGCCTCGCGCACCCGTAACGGAATCGGTCCAGCTGTGTGTGTGCGTGCAAAATAACAAGCGTTTTATTTTATTACGAGCTCTCGAGCAAACTCGTAAATTCATGCATGTATATATATGAATTGTTGGCAAATGGTGAGCCTACGGAATGCAAGCTACGCGCCAGCGAATAGCTGAGACTGGAATATTATTGCTATGTGTGTGTGTGTGTGCGCGCACGAAGAGTGTGTCTTTGCCGGTGCTTTTTTTCTTCTTCATTTTCGACTCGCGTTAATTCGTTACGCGACGACGGTAGGTAGGCTATACGAAGAATATAAAACCGGCTTTTAAAAGTACCGTTTTACACAAAGCAGCCGTGCCGAAAAAAAGCTATTACAAGCCTGCGCGTGCAGCAGCACATCGCGCAATATACAAACACACGTATTACGCGTACCGGCCGTTCGCAGCAAAACACACACAAAGCAGTTAATATAATATAAAGTAGGAGGATTATATGGTCGACAGTGAGATACAATGTATACGAGCTTGAGTTATGATTGCGTGTTTGTATACGGACCTTCTCCCATGTAACCGTAGCCGGTGACGGTGCACCTCTTGCCGGCCGTGTGACTGACGCCTCGGGCGGGCAGACAGACGAGGCAGACGCCGTCCTTGAGGGCCGCCTGGCCGTGCAGTTTGAGCAGGGCGATGTCGTTGTCCAGGGTCTGGCTGTTGTGATTGTGATGTATGTAGGTGGTGGCGACTCGCAGCGTCTGCGCTCCGGGACTGCCGTACTTCCTGGTGAGATCGACGTCGCCCACCCTCACGTAAATCGCGTCGCCCGATCGTACGATGCTGCGAAACAAAAACAAAAAAACCCTTCGTTAGTAAAGATGCGACGAATTTTGATTGGTATAGGCGATCGGTAATAGAAACTGACTTGGTGACGCAGTGAGCCGCCGTGAGGACCCACTGAGTGCCGATGAGCGCACCGCCGCACAGGTACTGATTGAGCGAATTGATGAGGGCGACCTGCCAGCACCACTCGTTGGCGTCGGCGTCCTCGCCACCGACGACTCGGGCCCCTCGACGATACATCTCGACCGCACTGCTGCGCGCCTGCATCGGTGCCTGCGACGTGCCCTTGACGCCGCACACGTATTTGCCGTACGACGATGAGGATTTCGTTGTCGACGTCGTTGACAAAGTCGTTGTTTCGTCTGTGTGGACAAAAATCGATGCATTCATTTTCTTAGGTGATTGCTCGACTCTGTGTAATTTAATACCTACTGCTGTTTATTTACGCGTGGATAATTGAATCAAATAATTATATGCTGTTAATTACTCGACGGTATGTTACTCTATGCAAAATAATTGAATTTAGTTCAAACAAAATATATTATCGATGCATTTTGAACTGTTTTAATCAGAATCACGGAAAGTTTGTATTTGTTCAAGGTGTACGATTTCATTGCTTCGCGCAAATATTTTATCCTTTCTTATCGAGGAAAATTACTGAATTTCTGCCCGATCTCGATGTGTGCCACATCGAATGCGAGTTTGTGCAATCCGACGTCGATCAAAAGCCTCGCACGGAAATCGATACTCACAGTGAAGCGAAGTAGGTAGCATCTGGGCAGTGTTGTAGGGCGAATAAGACGTGGTCATGTGTGGATAGACCGAGTCGTTCCTGTTGCTGAGAGAATTATCGATACCGACGTTGCCGTAGCCGGTGGAAATGCCTTGGGAGCCCGTCGTGCCGCTGCTGTTGTCCCCGTGAATGCCTTGGAACTCGCGGATGACCGATTTGGCGGCGCAGCAGCTGTACTTGGGATTTTTGCACTTGAACAGCGGCGTCACCTCGGCGTTGTTGAAGCACGTGAAGGACAGGTAGGAGATGATGCAGGATCCGCGACAGTCGGGTCGATTGTCCGGTGGCCCCGCCACCGTCGTCGTTACCGGTTTCTGCGTCGTCGGTTTTGGCTTTGGCCGCCTCGTCTATATCGAGCGAAATTATTAGAATCGATTTTGCAACGTGAAACATATTGTTCGAGTGACAAATATAACGAATGGTTAATTTACCGTTACAGGAACCTTGCTATTGTCGCAGCAGAACTGGCTTTGCGAGCAGGTCGACGTCCGGTAGATCGGTACCTTGGGCCGCTCGCAGAAGGCCAACATGATGTTCATGAGGCAGAAGCCGTTGCAGGGCGGTAACTTTGCCGGTGCCGCTTTCGTCGTTGGTCTCGTGGTCGTTGACGTGGTGGTTTCCTATTTAAATTCAAGAGCGCAAGTTTACGAGATTAGGTATATTTTACATCTTTATTATCGCTCGCACTGTTCCAACTGACCTGTCTCGTGGGAGGATCTCTGATGCAGCAGTAGGCCGAGTCGCCGCAATCCGCGTCGGTATCGACGTTCTCGCAAATCAGGGCGAAGAACGCGCTGACGCACTCGCCCTTGCAGGGCTTCGGTGGTGCCTCGGTGGTGCTGGGACCGGCTGGTCTCGGCCTTGGTGTCGCGCTCGTCGACGTGGTCGTCGTCGTCGTTACGGCAGCACCGGTGGTAGCGGGCGCTGGAGGGCCGCTCGCCTGTATCTTGGTCGAGCCCGAGCCGCCAGAATTACTCGACTGACTGAACCAGGAGGAGGTAACTGCGATAGGGAGAATCAATTTTTCAATACTCTTCTACATAAAATTATTTTTTATGACATTTTCTCATAAAATTTTGATTCGACTTTGATACAACGGATTATTATATTGATTATCATATTGAATTTTATGAATCAAGACTTATATTAACGTAAGAAGAGTGAAACAGTCTCATTATACTTTTTACAAGTTTTCAATTAGAATCTGATTGTACTTTATTGTGCATAATGCATTTTTGAAACTGTATTCAAGTTTTTGCAACGTAACTGATGATTTCCACGAGAGTAAGATCTCACTATTCGCGGTTTTGCTATTTGCGGTGCTTTTGGGCGACATGACCCCCGCGAATAGCGAGGGATGTCTGTAGCACAACTTAATCAACACGATCGGCAACTAACTAGAGCATTAATCTGCTCAGATTAATAGTAAAAATTTTATGAAAATTTCTTCAAAGAATCATGCATCTGAATAAAATAATTGAATGATAAAAAAAATCCCAACCGGAGGCTGTTGGCTTGGGCCTCGGGCTCGGCCTCGGCGTTTGGGAGGTCGAGCTCGAAGCGGCCACGGACGTCTGGCCGGTCTTCTCCTCGACCCGCGTCAAATTGGACTTGGTGCGATCGATGACCAGCAGCTCGGCCGGCGGCGAGTCGCCGAAGACGTCGCGCTCGACGCAGCAGCGCTGATCCGCATTGCAGAGCGAGTCGATCGACAGGACGGCGTCGCAGTAGTGCGCGATGCGCTCGGCCATGCAGTAACCAGGACAGGTCTTGACTGGGCAACGCGCGAGGAGGCAACAACACATCGAAAAGAGAGTCGCATTAAAGACCTCGTGACTCGGCTTTTGATATGTCGATATAAAACTTACTGGGCGTTTTATCGGAGGCTGCGTCGTTGTTCTTGTCGTCCCCGCTGGTCTTGCTCGGATTGGCGGATGCGACTGCGGGCCTCTGAGTAGTCGAGGTAGTCGTCGAAGTCGTCGTCGTCGTCGTCGTCGACGATGCCCATGTGACGGGGGCCGCCGGCCTCTGCTGTTGAACGGGCACAGGAGTGACGACGCTCGGAGCCAGGCTACTCGTGGTCGTGTGGCCGGGCTGCTTGGACGACTGCTGCTCGGACCAACCGCTGCTGGGCCTGGAGCTGCTCTCCTGCTCGTAGTCGGCGACCTCGTTGGAGTTGCTGCCCGTGCCGTTTATCGGCGAGTCGACGCAGCATCGCATGCTCGACTGGGGACAGGGCACGTCCTCGAGGACCTCGTAGCAGAGCAGCGTGGCCAGGGCGTGAACGCACATGCCCGGGCACTTGTCGCTGTCCTCGGTGCTCGTGATCGAGTCCAGCAGACCTGAAGAATGAAAAAACCACAATCGTTCGTTGAAATGGACCATAATTACATTGTTAGAGTAATCTAATTCTCATATAATATTGATACATCGATCGTTCATTGTCACTCGAAGCGTCAATAAAAGCTCCGAATTGCGTAATTCGATAAATCCATGAAAAATCGAGTCAAGTTGATGTGGATTACGTACATTTGGACGTGCCTCGGATGCGATTTGGTCCCGTTTTAATCCTAACGACGATCAATTAAAGAATGCGGATTATTATGTATTTGATATTGAACGTCACGTATAAACACGTGGACGGCGCGATCAACGTATGCAGATCATAAACATATGATTTTATCGCGATCGCCGTGATGTGTGTATGTATGTGTACTCTCGGCACATATAGCGCGTAAAATAAACACATCACACTGAATATATATTATACACCACTCCCATAACTGTATTATGTGGTTAATGAGAGAAGGTCGGCGCTACGAGTGCTGCTATAATATAACACCGTGAGTCCGCGAGACATTCTTGCATGCGTAATTCACATCGATGTTTGCGTATAGTGTACAGATCTCGGCGTCTATAGCTGTCCATCCAAAGTTCAAGTTTAAACTCGTTCGCCAAATACCAATTGAATAATTGTTATTACATAGCTCTAAGTGGATTATAAAATTCGAGAATATACTCACGATTTACCGATATGTAAGTATGTTACGTCAAAACCGGTATATCGGATGTGTGTGAAATAATTATCGGCTTCTTTTTGCCCGTCGATACTTCATATATCGCGCCTGAAATCGGCTGCGAGTCAATGACTCGTTCGGCTGTCAAGTGGTATATACACGGTTTCGTGTTTTCTATCACAATATCGCGAACAAGAATTTGACTCGAGTTCGGCAAATAGCGCTGTATGATCGTTACGATCTTTGATTCGCATGGATCGCGATCTTATACAGCCGTGTCTTAATGTGGGGCGAAAAATTCGTACGTCTTCCGGGCTTAATTATTCGATGCGCACCGGCTGCTCGCGTCGCAGTGCACACGCGTGCGAGTATGCGCGCGGTGGAAGGAAAAGAAAAAGAAAGAAACGAAACGAGTTCAGGGACAGACAAATCGGTCAAAGTCATTGGCTTGGAAGCTCGCGCATAGCGTAGCAGCAGCCGCAAAAAAGGCCTCACGCGGGACGGAAGGAGAGGCCCAAAGAATCGACGATATATGTGTGCTGTGTGTCTGGGTTTGTGTGTATGTACGTCGCGTGTCCAGCCCCGCGTCGTCGTCGTCGTCGTCGTCGTCGTCTCGCTGCAATGACGTAGCGAATGAAAGTTGGTAGCGTAAATTCCGCAGCAAAAAAGCATACGTATATATACACAAACATTCGATTGGATGTTGGCTGCATTATATAGATGCTATATATATGCGAGACGCTCGGCGAGCTGGTAATGATGTTTTCACTGGTGTCCGGCCGCGCGCGCGCTGCTATATACACGCGGAGCAGCACATCGCGGAAAGGTATAACGGCCCGAGGCTCGGAGAGCTCACCGCGCGTATAGGGATAACGGTTGTTGATGCCGCCACCGCTTCTCGCCTCGCGCGAGCCTCTCTCACTCGCAGAATAACACTTATATACGTACACCCAACGACCATCACCGACTTTAACATGTTATACAATACATAATATATAATATATGTATGTATATCCAGGCTCGACTCGCCGCGGAGAGATTCGTATCTCATCCCGGCCTCTCGACAGTTCGCTGAATCGTACGTATACGAATCTTTTGGAGCAAAATCTTAATTGTAACTATAACGCGTATGTATATACGCGATGCACGTGTATACCGTTTGAATGAAAGTATACGAGATTCTTTTGTGAAATACCCGCGAAATTAATGTACGTTATGTCACGATGCTGCGGAGTGGCTAAAAATGGACTGCGGAGTACGTGCACGAGGTAGGTACTTACATACCTTGCACGATGCTCATCCTGCGCACGGCACTCGGCACTTGATCGAAATGCTCTTTTCAAGGAGGATAAGCACGCGGATAAATATGTACGCCGAGCGTACATAATTGCACTCGCGTGATTGACATTTATAGATCATGCGATGATCGGCAGCTCTCCCGAGCAGCTCCGCGAGCGTGAAATTCTTTGAAAATTATGTACGCGCGACGACGACGATACCCCACGAGCAATGCTATATACGCTTGGCATTCGGTAAACTGGTTTTAGGATTACGAATAAACGAACGAGACTCGATAACGCCGAGGATGCACCCGACTTTTTTCTGTTTTTATTTTGTTCTTATTTGCGCTCACTTTGCCGTGGCGAACGCCGCGATCGTCGGAGTTCAAGATCCTGACGCACGAGTACTGCTACGGGTCAAAGGAATTATCGTTGCGTCATTTGCGTAATCGGCTCGCTGTATAACACGAGTTCCTCTCGATACCGTTGGACAGGCACACAAGTCGAGAGTCGCTCAACGACGAATGACCGATCATTCTGCCGCGAATCGGGTTGCCGTTAGCTTTTGCGTGTAAAAGTGAAATCCCAGCCGATGAAAATATTACACCGAACAAAACAAACGCGAGGCATACGATCGATAACCGCGAGCCGTGCTGGAAATCCGTAAAATCGGAAGCGATCGCGCCGACTGCAGGAGGAAGAGAGAAAAAATTCAATGCGGAGCGACAAATTTCGATTCGCGAACGTGGCTCGCGTAGCTCGAGTACGGACGGATCCTTCGCGCAGCCGCGACGTTCGCTCGCATACATACGTATGTGTGCCCGCGATATGGGAGTACCGTTGACCGGTATATGGTGCATCGGTAATCGGCATCCGATTCGCCTTTGACGGCAGCGCGGCGTCGGTGGCTATATCTTTCTATACCTATATACCACCTATAAGCGATGTATGTATTCTAGCTACGAAGCAGCGGCGGCGGCGGCCTTGTTTCAGCAAAAATCAAGTAGGCCACTGCCCGGGGGCCTACTCTTGGCAGAGCTCTGTGCAGCTACTAGTAGTATAACGCACGCATGTATAACTGTGTCGCAATTTCTATTTCTCGCGCGCGCTGCACGCGCTCGACACGACGTAGCTGCGACAACGCCTATATACCTGTGTACGTATGTGCCTGTGTACGTATGTGCGTGTCTACGTTTGTGTACCTTCTTACATTAGCGCGGAAGCGATCGTCCCGACTAGAGATGTATTACAAACACTTTTCTCGATACCACAACTGAAGGCATAAACGACCAAATACTTTTTGGCTTGTACGATCGTGCTCTCGTAGCAATATGAAACAAAAAGATCGTGTACATGACGAAGAAACGGCGTTGGGTGCGCGAAATTGCACTAGTCGGCTGCGCGTGGGCCTCGGCTTCGACTATAATTGAAAAAGAAAAAATTTCTCTTTCGCGAGCTGGCTCGTCATATATAGCGGTACCTGCATGCGTACTCGTGCGCCAAATGCACTGTTAGCTTCCAACGAAAGTGCAGCAACAACGACGCTCGTGCGTGTGTGTACTGTGCGCGCCAACGACTATGCGTATATATATCTATACGCTACTTGCGGACAACTCGTAAAAGCTCGTTCCTACAGACAGCTATACGCGTACTTGTAGTCGAGAGAGAAAAGAGGCGAGGGCGAGAGTCGTACAATTGTGCCGTGTAATTTTCTTATTTTTCTATTGCCGTGTTTTATCGTCCCTAATCGTGACTTCGATGAATTCACCTTTTGGATAACAACGTTTCAACGGCTTATTCGCCGATGACAGTGAACTTTGATCCTTCTCATAGACAAAGTTAATGAACTTCTTTACATCGAGCATAAGCAGTATGATTTGTAATATCATTTTACGACTCGTCGTTGCGCGCACAATCGCAACGCAGCGAAAATATTTGAAATTCATTTTCTCGCAATTTTCTCTTGGAAAAGTATTTTTTTTGTCCGTATGAAACACCGCGTACCGATCAAAAGTGTACCGACTCGTTTTCCGGCTGAGGTCTAGGACGCGAGCCGATTGCGCGCGCGCGCGACAAAAAAAGGCGCACACGTGCCACATTTTGCGCTCGCGGTATCGCTATTTTAACGCACGCGCTTATACACGCGATCTCATGATTTTGATGTCAAAAATACCAAATAATTCGGTGCATCGATCATTCGTAAAGATATCGATGTATTTATACAAGTCGGAGATCTTGGTACTCTTTGGGCTTATCCGTAGAAAGCTAATTTCAAATGAAAATTTCCAATTCTCCAGCTTTCATCGACTAAAATTATATTAGTAGCTGATTTAACAAAAAATCTGATAATTCGGTACTTTAAGGACTTATACGTACCGAGTCAATCTCGAAAAATCTTCCTATTCAATTTTGAACAGAAGAGCGTGAAAGCGTGAGAGCACTTTACGTGAAATTTTTCTTATAAGCAGCGCTTTTTGTTAAGGCGAGGGAATTTTGAGTTTTTTAAATTATAATAAACGAGATCGTAAAGTAGTTTTAGCGGGCGCCGAAAAATCAGCTCTATCGTGTATACAAGCAAGATACACCGCAGCTTTTCTGACAAACATACCCCTTGATATCCAAGCTGATACGGGGACAAATGAGTCGACTTACCGGACAAGAAGCTTCCGGCGAGAGAATCGTCATCTTGAGAGGCAACGGAGCTCGATAAAAAAGTCACCCCGAGCGTCAGGGAAAACAGCAGCGTCAGCGCCAGTTCAAGCGCTCCTCGCTGCCGCATCTTCCGTCTATCCGTTTGTGCAAATTTTCCCAAAAATCGTATTCCCCGATCTCTTGGATTTTTTTTTGTCTCACTCACTCGTCGCTACAAATGTGAAAAAAAAACAATTGCACTGGTCGCGCGAGGCTCGATGAATTCTTATAAGCACGAATAACAGAAAAAGACGAGAGCCGGGCCGAACGTAACGTGCACTTTGAATAGAGGGATACGCAAGCTCGCGATTATCAGGAGCAACTAGTGCTTCGCGCGCCTTCGTAGTC